TTTCAGCGGGGCTTCCCGCGGGGCCACGACGCGCGACAGTTGCGCAAATATGGCGCGCCCAGCCGCTGCCGCTAGGGCCTTCGGCGGGGTCCCCCGTCGAGCCGCGAATTGCGCGAGGGTTATGCAGGTGCCGCGCGCGGCCGCCGCCTCCAGGGCGATCGGTGGTCCCCCTGGGGCCACGACGCGCGCGAACGGTGCCTAAGTGCGCGCGCGGCCGCTGGCGCTGGGACTGTTGGCAGGCTTCCTTATTCGGGCCATCGAACGTGCGAGGGGTGCGCAAGTGCCGCGCGCGGCTGATGCCGCTGGGGCCTTGGATGGAGCATGGGGAGTGCAAGTGCCGCGCGCGGCCGCTGCTACCGCGGCCTTGACGGAGTCGCCTGTGGGGCCGCGAAGCGTGCGAGGGGTGTGTAAGTATGGCGCGCAGCCTCTGCCACTGCGGCTTTCGGTTGGGCAAATGCTTGGGGGGCTTGCGAGCACCGCGCGCGGCCGCCGCCGTTGGGGGGCCTCGGTGGGCCCCCCGTGAGGGGCGACGGCTGGGGCCCCCTCTTCAGGGCCACGGCATTCCGCATGGTCGTTGCCTTTGAGGCACCGCCCCACGGCGGCGAAATTTTCTTGGGCGCATTGCTGCGGGGGGTGGCGCGGCGCAGACGTCATCTGCTGAGCCGCGCGGCTGCGGCCCTCGCCTGGCGCCGCGCCCCCGCCCGCCCCCCCGCCCGCCTGGCGCCGGGCGGCGGCCGAGCGCTCATTCCAAGGGCGCGCGGGGGCAGGGGGAGGGCAAGGCCCCACGGGGCAGCCGCATTCCGTCGCGGGCCTCCCAGGGGCGTCGCGCCATTCCACCGCGCCCCCGCCGGCTTCCCCGGGGAACAAGTCATCCAGATTTTGTTTTGCATTTTCACCGATCGGGGCGGGCTTATTTTTCGCGCGTGTCTCATATTTTTTTGGGGAAAAAATAGGGGCCTCCCCGGCCACCTCTGTTTCTCACATGTGTTGCGTGTTTTTGTGCAAACCGTACACACAACAACATATACGAAAAATGCGCGCTCGGAGTCGGGGGGCATCTTGCCGATTTCGGCCGCCTAATTTCTACATGGCGCACCAAATGGTCCCGGTGGTTGTGGAATCGGGGCCTATCTGGTTTTTGAATTGTTTGTGCATTTCGATTGGGGCACGTCGAACGCACTTAAACAGATCTCGGCCGCCCAGGGGCCGCGCCGATCGAGGCCCCGCGGCGATCGCGCCGGCGTCTGGCGCAGAGCCTGGGGGGTATCTTTCGCCGCCCTGGGTCGCGGTGGCCCTCTGCAACAATTTTGGGGGCCCTCGCATTTGTTGCCCGAGGCGCTGGGCTGGGCGCGAGCGGCGCCGTGGATCGGGGTCGTCGCGGGGGGTCGCGGCGCAGACGGCCAGGGGGAACAACGGGGTTAATTCGAGAGGGCGGCGGGCAGGATGAAGAGCGCGCGAGGGGGAAGGGGGGGGGGGGGGGGCGCGATCGGGGAGGAGGGGGGGGGGAGGGGGGGGGAGAAGGGGCAAGGAACAGGGAGGTCCACGTCGTGGGCTGCAATCTGGGGGGCGTTTTTGCTGGCTTACTCGCAAGTCGCAGCGGCGGCAGCCGCGCGTGCTGCGGCGGCGTGCTCTTGACGTCACCGGTGCGCGGGGGCACGCAGGACGTTTCGCCATCGGCATTCGCGTGATGATGGTACAGTAGCCATATGAGAGTTTGGATCGCAGAAATGTCGGGTGGTACGCGGTCCTTTGCAGCGGCGAGTCGGCCTCTAGTTTCGCGCGGCCCGGGCCCGCCTCCACTGAGTTTTCTTTACCTCATCACCCTGCGCCCCTCGTCCCAAGGGCCTGTTCTCAGCGGCCCCATCGAGGCTGTTCTAGCCGTCGCCCCCATTCAAGTTCTAGTCGCCCCCCTTTTCGTTCTCTGCACCCCCCCTTCGCAAGATGCGATTCTCCAGGCGATGTCGCGCGCCTGCCCCCTCACCCCCCCCCCTTTCTCCTCTTGGGCGAATTTCATCGGCCCCGTAGTCGTTTTCCTGGCGCCGTCGTTCCTGTCAGTGGCTGCGCTGCTGCTTCTGCCCCCTTGTCTGCCTTCCGCCGTATCGCCGCCGCCGCTGCCGTCGCAGATGCGGCGTCGGAGATATGCAGATTCGGCGGGATTGCGTCGTCGATTTGCAAGCGAGGCGTTCGAGTTGTCCGGGGTGGATCGCCCCTGGGCGGGCGCGAGCAGTTGCGTTTCACGCGCGACGCGTCCCACTTCGCCAATCCAGCGAGCGGTTTCTGCATGATTCTACAGCTGAGGCATATTTCAGAGTCCCTATTTTTTCAGGTTGCTCATGCACTTTAACGTTTTCCTGGATTCCTTCGTTGTTTGTCCATGAGTCGTTGCCTTTCAACCGCGCTGCGTTCGCGCCGTGGGTGGCACTCAAGGCATGGGGGGCCAGCCAGGGCCAGCCAACAACCCGCCGCCCAGGGATGCGTCAGCCTGCAGCGAGGCGAGGGTGGTGCCTGCAGTGACTGGGCGTCGCCCTCGTTTGGTCTCCCTCTTCTGTCATGGCACGGGTAGAGGGGCCATCCCACTCCGCGGGGACGTACTGTCGACGACAAGCGTCCGTCGCCAACTCCCAAACCCTGGCAACGGCGGCCGCCCCGTAGACGAGACGTTCTCCATCGTCCGGATCGGGGGGGGGGTCGTGGTCTGCCAGTAAAGCCGCCGAGGATCACAGGCAGACGCACGCAGATGCGCGCGCACATTCACACACGCACACACGCACACATACACACGCACGCGCACACGCACACGCACACGCACACACGCACACACACACACACACTGAAACACACACACACACAGACACGGACACAGACACAGACACAGACACAGACACACACACACACACACAAGTAGCGACGCACACAGACAGACACACACACATACACGGACGCATTGAGCTCCACATATTGGGGTTCAAACGTCTGTTCACGCACCAAGGATTTCAGCGCACTATGTCATCGGTGGTGAGCCTGCGAGCCCACGGGGGAAACGAGAGGGCGAAGGTCTCCTCAGAAGGCGGCGGGGCTGCTCAGAATCCCTGCCCTCCGGTCGCCCCCGGGGCCCTGCCCTCTCACTGCCCTTGCCCAGCTGATCCGCCATCCGCTGCCGCTCGTGTTGGGGGTCTCCCGTCGCCCCTTGCAGGATGCCGCCTTCGGCGTCGCGCTCTCGGCTGCCTTGCGCGCAGGAGCTTTTCTGGTCTCCGACCCCAGTGTTCAGGGCTAGCTCGGGTTCGCTTGTCGGGAATCCGAACCCGAGTTGCCCTGGGCCCGAGCTGCCCCGGATAATTCGGGCGTCCAGGGCCCCAAATCATCAGGGGTAGCTCGGGTCAGGGGTAAGTCGGGTTCGTTTTTCGGGAATCCGAACCCGAGTTGTCCTGGGCCCGAGTTACCCCGGATGACTCGGGTGCCCAAGTCCCCAGTATCCCGCCCTTGGCTGGTGCCCAGGCCTTGCGGCCTCGCCCAGAGGCGCCCGATTTGCAATCGGTTCCCTTCGGTACTTCTGGGGCGCACGCGCTGGCATCACCGACCCCCACGGCACCGGGTTGGGTTCGAGCAGGCTGGACGGCCAAGCTTCCTGAAGGTCGCGTGGGCTGGTCGGCAAAGACGTTCATCGGAGGTTGATAGACCTTTTACCCTGAGGCCGTCGATTAGCGAATTGGCCGTTGTCGGCTCGTGAGAGGGGGTCGCGGCCGTCATTTTTTCGGGTCCAGGTCCGTCGGTTTCGGTTCTAGGCCGTTTTCATTAAAAGGGTGGTTTGCTAAAGGGAGGTTTGTCCACCGCCGGCACTCCTGGTTCATGCCAACATTCGGGGGGGAACTTCATCGCAGTCGACCCGAATAAAATTGACGGCGCCTCTACTGGTTACACGAAGCAGCCTGACAGGAGGAGGAGGAGGAGGAGGAAATGGAGGAGGAGGAGGAGGAGGAGGAGGAGGAGGAGGAGGAGGGAGGAGGAAAACGAGGAGGAGGAGGACGGGTAAGAGAAGGAAGGGGAGGATGGTGTCTTGTGCAGCAGCGCACTACTTCAACAGCCAATATGTCTTCATACCACTCCAGATCGCCAGCGTCGCCAGCCCCCTCCTTTCGGGGAGGGGGTCAGTGGGTGGGTGGGCATTCTTAGCTCACCATTCACTTGCCAGCGAGCCTCTGATGCTGTGTGAAACCAGATATCCATTCCGCCTCTTCGGGCCACCGTCGTTGTTATGCCGCCATTTCGATACGAACATTTCAATCCTTCCTTGTTTCCCTGCTTCACTCGTACCTCCTCCGTTTTTGGCACCGCCGCCGCGCAGAAGCCTTCCCTTCGGAATGGCCAGATCACTGGTTGATTGAATATTGAAGCACGTGCAGAAGCTATCACACCTCCGTCCACTCACCCATGCACCCTCCCCACCATCGTCTTCTCCACGTTTCCTCACAAGCTTCTCGCTATCTCGTTCTTGGCTCAAGCTCGCGAGCCGTTCTTGCTCGACTGCACATTGTAAATCTGTCTTGTTGCTGATTCTCCTCCCGCTCTCCGGCGGCGAGCCCAGTGGGGAAGTGAGAATTGGCGGGCCCTCTCAAAAAGCTCGGATGTCCTCCGGCCTTCTGAGAAAGTTTCTCTAGTCCTTCCCCGAAGACACCAAAAGCCTGTCAGAAGGCGCGACGGCCTCTGAGAAGCTCGCCGCCTTCCGAGAAGGCCTTCTCCTTCTCTCGGGAGCGGCAAAGAGGGGGGTGATGACTAGGGGGGGGGGGGGGGCATATTATGGCGGGGGCCATGACATCTCCCCAGATTTCATGGCGTCCCTTCTTATTCCAATACGTCCCCGGCCTCCCCCCCCTTGGGCCGCGCACATGCCGCCGGCCATGATTTGCGCCCCCCCCTCTCGGACGCCCCCCTCTTGGCCGCCCGCGATTCTCACTGGCCCCCCTCGCTCGCCGCCGATCCCGGGCGCCTCCGAGCCCGTCCACATGGCGTCCTCCGCGCTCGCCGCCGTGGCCTGGGCGAGCGCGCTTGGCGCCTCTGCCGTGTCGCTGTCGCAACCGGCTGGTCCTCGCTTCGGCCAGGGCACCGAGGAGCAGCGACGACAGAGGGTGCGGTGACACGCTGTTCATTTCTAATTCTTCGAGGGTGCTCCGATTTTGATGGGGGCCAGGACCCTTGCATGTCTGATTGTTTTATCCTGGGCCTCTTCCTGGCCACTAGGGGGCCAGGAACAATTAGGAACGAGCACAAGTAGAAATGAGCACGATTAGAAATGAACGAGGTGTACGCCAGGGTGTGGTTCGCGACCCGCGCCGTTGGAGCCTGGGGGGCACGACGCTGTCCTCGTCGAGCCTCCTCGGGGCGCGGCGGAGAACTCTATCGAGGTCCCCGCACGCCCCCGAAGGTTGCCCCCCCCCGGGTGCCGGTTGCGAACCACACCGTTTGCAAGCCACACCCCTCGAAGTCGCCGAGAGGAGGCCCCGGTGGCGGTGCCGCGGCCAGCGGACCTCTCGAGCTGGGCCAGCGGCCCTCTCTTCTCTAGGGGCCTGGACTCGAAGGCCAGCGGCTTCCACCACGCGGAGGTCAGGAGCCTCGTGGGGGACTACAACCTGAGCGTCGCCGCGTTTGACTACTGGGTGGATCAGGGGGTCTCTGGCGGGCTTCTCGGCGGGTCTGGCTGGGAGACGGAGCGCATCTCTGAGCTGTGCCGCCTGTACCGCTCGAACGGCGCCGTCGGCAACTTCCTCGACGTCGGCGCCAACATCGGCACCTTCACCATCCCGCTGGCGGACTGCATTCGGAGCACTGGCGGCAGGGTGTTCGCCGTTGAGGGGATGCCGCCCACGGTCGACCACCTCGCGGCGGGCATCCTGGAGAACAAGCTCGATAACGTTGACATGTACAACTACGCCGTGGGCGCCCCAGACGATCCTCCAAAGGTGACCATGTCACTCAATCCTGTCAACAAGGGCGGCTCCGCCGTCAAGGGCAACAAGCCGTTCACCGTGATGGGCGAGGAGGAGTTGCAGAAGTTGTTCCATCCGAGCAAGAAAGCGCAGACGTATGCGGAGAAGGTTGCGGTGATGGAGTACGAGGTGCCGCTTACCACTGGTGACCTCATGCTCCAGCACAATCCGGCGATGAAGGCCATCCACATTGCCAAGGTCGACATCGAGGGCCACGAGGGCCACTTCATCAAGGGGTCCCAGCTCCTCTTCTCCGAGTTCCCCCCTTGCATCCTGACCATCGAGCTGATCGAGGACTGGCTGGAGCGCGCTGGTACCCCAGCCGGGGAGATCCTTGACCTGCTGGCCGGCTGGGGCTATAAGAATGTTCCCACCGCCGCCGAGCTCAAGAAGCGTGGCACACAGGGCCACACCCTTACCATCCACCAGAAGCGAATGGGGGCGTGCCTGAATCGCGTGCGGTCATTTGCGCAAGCTTGACTGACAGCGTGATGACTACAGCATTGATTCACCCCAAGACTGATTCCCTCGTAGAAGTTAAGGAACATGCGTAGAATGCACGCCGATCTACGGAACCTTCTTGCGGGCAAGATTAGTATCCATATCCAGTGCGTTTTGGACTCTCTTAGGCGGGGCGCCACAAGGCCGAGGCATGGATCAAAATCAATCCTCCAGGGGGCAGTGCTTTTTACAGTCAACCATGATAGTAAGGACGGGGCAACTTTCCCGCATCCTTGCCCCTTCGGTATTCGGCATCCTTCGGCATTCTCGGCGCTCCGCACGGAAAACGTCAACATGGCGCTCCAAGGCTCTTGCATCCTTACCGCGCATCCTTACTATCCTGGTCGAGCGTATCCAAAGCCAGTGCGCCTCGGGCTTCTCGGGGACTGAGCCCGACACTCCACGCTGCAGTGGGTATATGGACAGACGCATTGCCCGCACTTCTGCGCACGTGGCTCGTGGCTTCGGCGAGCACCTCAGTCTTGGGTTAACTCGATGCTGTAGCCCGTCCCCTGCTCGAAGGCCCGGCTCGGACCCGAGCTGGTCCGATGTGCCAGATCCTGCGCTTCCTCGAACTGTCTCTTCGGGCCGACTGACAGGCGGGGGGGATAGGGAAAGGGAGGGGTACGAAATCTTCTGCACGCAGCTGGTTTCGACCCCGCCGCCGGGCCCATTCCTCGATACATGGGCGCCTCCCGGCGCCGGGAGGCGCTAGGAAACTCAGCTTCGTGAGCTGATTCTCAAACCTGCCCTTTGCTATCCCCCCCTTTCGCCCGGCCTGATCCTCGAACTGTCTTTGAACAGCCCGCCCGGGGGAGGCCCGGCGGGCGGACCTTCCTCGGAACTTTTAGCAGCTACATTGCGAGTGGCGGGCGGTGCTTCGATCCCAGGACCTCAAGTGGGTCGGGGACGACGTGGGGTTGGTGGGGTGTATACTTGTTTCCCCGTTGTCCCGGGGAGGCAGCGAAAAATGTATACACCGGGATCCCGTATACACCAGGATCCGCTTTCCGGTGCAAGCTTCAGGGCAGGCCTGGAGAACGCGTTGGTCTTGTTTCCTTTGCAGTGGCCTGCCTCGGGTTGGCTTGGCGATTTGTCTCCTTACCGTGGCCTTCGCTAGGGTTGCTTGTTTGTTCCTCGAGGCTCCCTGGCTTTCTTACAGTGGCCTTCCTCGGGCACCTTGGTCTTGGTTCCTTAGTTCCCTAGTCTTCGTTCCTTGCTGCCTTCCTCGGGTTCCCTGATTCCTTTGTTCCTTGGTCCTGGTTTCTTGATTGCTTAGTCTAGGTTCCTTGGTCTCGGTTCCTTGGCTTCTTGATACCGTGGTCTTGGTTCTTTCTTCCCTCGCCAAGCAATGCCAGGACTTGCAACGCAATGCCAAGCAATGCCACGCAATATACCGAGCAATATGCCAAGCACTATGCCTGGCAAGGAGCCCATGCAGCAAGAGGCTCACAACATTATTGCCGATTTTGATTGCGATTCCACCCGCGGGTTCTGAGTTCGGTTTCGATCTAACGTTGCCGATTCCAGTCGATTTCAGTCCGACTGCGATCCCCTTTTTCAGCCCTCCTCAGACTTCCTTGCCAACGCCCTCCCGTCAGCGTGCGTGCGGCGGCGGCGGAGGAGGCAGGATGAGAAAGGAGGAAGAGGAGGAGAGAAGGAGGAGGTGGAGGAGGAGGTAGAAGGCATGAGGATGAGGAGAAGGAGGAGGAGGAGGAAGAGGAGGAGGAGGAAGAAGAGGAGGAGGAGGAGGGTGCAAGAGACTTGAATTCGTCCGGGGGGCTGAGGTGGCCCAGCACTGCCTCTGGCGAGCAGGACGGGCGGGCGGGTTCGAGGGCCTGGGCTCGGCAAGCTGTTCTTGTTGTATCTTTCGGCCTCTGGGGGAGCAATTCCTGGGCGAAGAAGTGCGCCATTTGGACTGGAGGGGTCCGGGAACCGATTTTTTGAACGGAGTTAGCTTCATTCCCCCCCTCCTGATCGATGTTCTGGGGTCCCAGCCAACTCAGGCCCCCGGCCGTCTCCAGCAACAGGCGGCTTCAAGTTTTGGGCTTGCCTCGAGGCGCAGCAGACGGGCCAACTCTGGGAAGGCCGCTGGCTAGCCCAGGCACGCCCCGCCGACCACAGAGAACAATACTTAAGTCGGGCATGTCCCTCTACAGGAGGAAAATTCAAGAATTAGTATAACAAATAATACAGGGTCGATGTTTTGACTAAGTTTGATGATGGTTTTTGTTGAATGAGTATGTTTTGGTCATTTTTTAGTTTTCGCACAAAATACACCTGTAGGGGGACATGCCCGACCTACAGTCAACCCGCACAGCAAGGATGGGCAACTTCACCAAGGGTACCCTTGCATCGTTGCCTCCTCGGTCCATCCTTCGCCGCTTTCGCTGGCCGCGCCCCGCTCGAAAAGCTTCGACATGGGCGTGCAAGGCCCTTGCATCCTTCTCGCGCATCCTCGCTATACTGGTTGACTGTGAGGCTAAAGCCCCGGCACGCCCCGCCCACCACAGAGAACAAGACTTGGCATGCCGCTGGTGGCGGCTCGGCTGGGCGCTGCCAGCAGGCCCAGGGACTGGCTCCACACCTCGGGCCCTGTCGCCTGGCTAGGGTTCAGTCAGGCCTGTCCCTCTACAGGAGGGATACATTCCATAATGGTCAAAAAATAGTCAGGGGACGACTTTTGAAGTATTTTTGAACCTTTTTAGGTGCATTGTGTGACTACTTTTTATCTTTCGTCCAAAATCCGCCTGTATGGGGGCACGCCCGACCGAAGGCCAGGGTTCATGCGGCGACGCCCATGGCCCGCCTGCACCCCTCGGCACCAACGACTTTCGGCGAGGCGCTGGCAGCTGGCAACTGGCCTCTCCCCTCCTCAACGTGGCGGCGGTTGCCTGGATGGCATCCTTGCACACGCCCTGGCCCACAGGTCTATCCATCACGTGTCGGCCCTCGGGGACCTTTCCATTCGCCGAGGTCACGAGTTTCGTGAATGGGGTCCGGTCCTAGTTCTTGCCGAGCTCTTTCGGTGCTACCGCAAGGTGCCTGACAGGCCGAAGGGGCACCGAAAGGCTGGGGGAAACTTGGCGAGGCAACGAACGCGTGAAGATAGCTAGCGCGCAACGCCACCCTGGACCAGGACGTACTGGGATTTCCGCATGGCCATCTTCACTTGACGCCGTCGTCGACCGCCGTGACATCTCTTCACGCTCCGCGCTGGTCTACTCACGCTCCAGGCTACACAGGAGGGGGACCTTTCCCTAGCGCGCATTCTGGCCAAGGAGGCCGTCGCGTCCTCCGAATTGACATGGCCGGCCTTGTTCAGGAGGGGAAAAAACAGGTGACGTTGTTTCGAAAGCGCGCGCCCAGTCCTGGAAAGGAATGCTTGCGCGGCCCATGGGGAAGGGCGGCGAACTGGTCAGCGGGGTCGACCCCGCGAGAGGACCTCGAGAATTGGAGAGGCTGGGGGGTTTCTACGAGGCCCCTTGCCTTCTGAGAAACCCCGGCGCCTGCGTGAACGCCGATTCTCCTCGCGCCGCCTGCTTGTGGGCGCCGCCGGCGGACCGTCTCCATGCGCCGTTTCCTCTCCCCCCCGGCACCGACGCCGATGTTCCCGCCGCCGCCGCCGCCGCCCCTTTCGCGAAGGCCCCTGCCGGGGGCCCGCGGGCGACCCGGGGGGGAAGCGGCGGGCGCGGGGCGAGAGCGTTTCGGAGCTCACGCAACGGCGGTCAGCGCCACGTGAATTTCCCCGGCGGGCGCGCGGGGCTCTGGGGGGTCGCCGCAGGGGAATCGCGCCGATTCGCGAAATCTCGAGAAAACTTTCGGCGCGGAAACTCACGGAATCTGCGCCGGCCCCCCCCGCGAGGCCCCAGGGGTTTCAGTTGTTCTTCCCGAGAGATGCACGGAACCAGCGGAACGCCATAGAATCTCGCAATGGCATCAGACAGAATCCGCGGCATCCCGCGGGCCCCCCCCGGCGGATGCGCGGAATCCATAGAATCTCTGCTTAGGGGGCCGAACAGATTCTACGGGCTCTCGCGGAATTTGTCCGACGGACGCGCGGAGTCCACGGAGCCCTTCGAAATCTTTGCTTGGGGGCCACGCGGACTCCGCGCGGCCCCGCTGAATCGCGCCGACGGACGCGCGGAACCTGCGGAATATCACGGAATGGGCGCTGGCCCGCCCTGTGGAATCCACAGAATTTCATTGATTCCGCCGGGCATGTGCATTGAATCCGTCGTGTCCAGGGGAAGTAGCGCCATGAGACCGCTCGGAATCACGCGGGACCTTTCAGGCGGGTGCGCGAAATCAGCGGGGCCACGCGGAACGCTTTGTCGGCGTTGGTAGGGGCCCGCGCAGGATGGACGGGCGCTCGCGGCATCTGGCAGACGGATGCACGGAACCTGCGGGGCCCCGCGGAATTCGCGTTGGCCCCCTTGCGGAATCCGCGGAACATCGCAGACCCCCCGGACGGACGCGTTGAATCCACGGAATGAAACAGCAGCTGCGCCATGGAACCACGCGGAATCCCACGGCGTCTGTCCGACGGATCCACGGGCCCGCCAAATGTCGCGGAACCCCGTCAATGGGGCCCCGCTTAGTCCGCGGGGCCAGTCCGACGGATGCGCGGAATGCGCGGATGCGCGGAACGCGCGGAACCTCGCGGAATCCATCCGAGGGGGGCGCGGATTCCGCGAAATCCCGCAGAACCTCCGTTGGGAATCAGAGAGCATCCACGGAACCTCGCGGCGGGGTTCCGACGGGCGCGCGGATTTTGTTGTATTTGCGAAATCAACGCAAGGGGCTTGCACGGAAACATTGGAACATCGCAGAATCTTGCCGGCGGATACGCGGAATATGTGGAATATGACAGGGGCTGCGGCGCGTGAGATTCAACGCTTGCATTTCGAAGTGTACGACATGGCCCACCATTCTTTTTCTACCCTATCAATGTTTCGCGAGTCTGGGCTCGCGAGTGG